GATGGAGATATGTGCTTACCACATTTGGATCTTGGCCAGCGTTTAAGCAGATGTAAGTCACAATGCTTCATGGAAGGGTTGTGATGAAGAGAGCAAAGTTCTCACTAATATAAGAGATGTTATGCAATGCTTAACAAACAATACTATGCTATGCATCTTTATTTCTGATCAGAATTCAGGTGCTGGTTTCTCAGTGGTTTGGGAGAAGGATATTTGAAAGACTGTCTTTTTCTGCACAGACCTGCCCGTCATTTAAGATCTGCTCCAGAGGCCTTTTTGTCCATGAACCTATCTGGGGTGACATCCTGCGTTGTGTTTCCTAAAGAGATAACATTGGCCTCTTCTTTCTTTAGTTTCAAGCGAGCTACAAAAGCTTCTGTTCTGTTTGGTTTCTGGTATTTCCCCCCCTGCTCTTCCTTTTTCACCTTGCAATGTTTTAAAGGTGGTAAACTGCTTTCACGTTCACAAACCTGACTTGCTTGGTGTCAGAAAATGGAGTTAGAATAAGTTCATAAACAAATAAAGGTACAAACAGGCAGATGGATGGGGAAGTAAATTAACATTATAGTCTAACGTTCTTGGCAGGGGTACCTCTAGAACCTCATCGGTTTCTGCTGCCGCTTCTTTGCGTAGGGGAAAAAAATTGCCAGCATCTCTCAGGATGTGATTTTAACCATGGGCTTCTCACCCCCTCCCGAGGCATCTACCACAGGGTTATTTAAGGCTTATCAAATCATCTGCCAATGACTTCCACCCACTGCTACACAGATAAATACTCCTAAAACTACTGATGGGTTATTTTAGCTTTGCATCTCTTATTAGCAAGGGGTGAGTATGGCAGGCAGAGAAGGACGCCAAACAGCTTAAACAGCCCAGTAGTAACTGAGTGGGTTGGAGGAGGAGGCCAGTGATTGGCTTCCCTGTGCTCACTTAACTGTAAGCTTTGACTAGCGGGTTGTGGGAATGTAGTCTCCAATTGAGACCTGCATGGGGGCGGCTTTCACAGGGATTAGAACTGAGGTTCATCTCTTTTTTAGTCCACTTAAATGACTATCAAATCAAGGGACCTGCTGGGGCTGAAGTTCAGTATGAAATGAGCTGAATCCTTTTTTCCCCCTTAATGGAAGTCGCTTTCCCAAATGGATCTCTTCGTTTTTCATATAAACATCCTGACTTTACCTAGAAAGGGATTTGCTTTAATCATTTAGCAGTCTGTTCTCAGGCTTGCTGTATCTGCAACGATACCTATTGTTAGAAAACCTGGCTCCTTGTATGACCATGAGGTGACCGAACGCTCTCTTGTTTGCGACTAATTTTTAGACATCTCCAAGAAGGTTGCACGATTTTTATCTGTAGCTATGGCTTAAAGAAGCCGTCTGAGGACCTCTTCATATTACTGATGGTTTCAGGCCAATCTTATACTTCTTTAAAAATATAAGTATGTGTTTGATCTGCTGTATTTGATGTATTTTAAATCAGGGTTCTTCAACCTTGGCGACGTGAAGATGTGTGGACTTCAACTCCCAGAATTCCCCAGCCAGCCACGGAATTCTGGGAGTTGAAGTCCACACATCTTCACGTCGCCAAGGTTGAAGAACCCTGTTTTAAATGATTGGTCTTGGACTGTAAAGAAACTTAGATGTCTCATTTGGTGATGGACAGTATTTGGTAGGACACATGTCCTACTGCATGAGAAGCCAGTGCTCAGTAGAGGTCAAATGACGGTTCAGACTGCAAGGGAGCCAAGCTTAAATACTGTGGAACAAGTTACATTTTACCCAATTCAATTTAACTCTGAATATTCTCATAAAGAGATATTTGGGGGGGCTTTTGGAGGGTGAGAGTGCATGGCTCTGGGAAAGAGATCACTTGGGTGATGATACCCCAACTATGGAATGTCTTTCCCAGAGATGGTCTTTTGTTCCCTACATTGTTGTTTGGCTTTAAGCAAAGATTTAAAAATCTTTTTTCACAAGTGTTTTGATTTGCTTTGGTTTTGTTAATTTTATTCTTTGCATTTTAGTTTTAATGGCTTGTTATGCAGGTAGTCCTCAGTTAACGATGGATATTGGGACCGGAATTTCCGTCGCTAAGTGATGCAGCTGTAACGTGCAATGTTGTGATCGTATCGCTTGGCGACAGCGATCCCAACAGTCCCCATTGCCGGCGTTAACCGAATGCACTGGTCATTAGGCAAGGACCCATCCTGATCCAAGCCATTCCTGGCTTGGTCCCTCCCAATCCTGAGCCTCTGTAAGGTCAGAGACTGCCTCCTCTTGAACTCCCCCCCACCTATCTCCCCCCCATCTCTGCTCTTTGGGCTGCCCTACACAGCGGCACTCCTCGGCGGCAGTGGCAGTGCTGGGACCTGGAGCCTTCAGCAGTCTCACCCAGCCGCCGCCTCTGCTCCCAGGCCTCTACTTCAGCCCCACCGCTGCCACTGCTGCCGAGGAGTGCCACTTCAAGTCCCGTACCTTGGTCAGCCACCCCAGTGCCACAACACAAAGCCCCAGTTGCCGCCCTGCCGTGCCCAGCTGACCTTCACCGTCTTCTTCCTCTTGCTGATGAAGAGGCGCACCTGTCCTGGCCCTATGTGAGGCAGCTGTTGGCTGTGCCAGACCTTCTTCCCAGGGCCGCGCATGCCCTTTTCCAAGTTGCGCATGCTTCTCCAAATGGCTTGCAGGCTTCTTGCGAGCTTTCAGAAGTCCTCAGTGGGAAGAAGACGACAAAAGTCAGCTGGGTGCAGCGGGGACAGCTGGGGCTTTGTGCTGGGCACTGGGATGGGTGGCCATGGTGTGGGGCTTGAGACATTCTGTGGTGGTGGCGTTGCTGGTGGTGGGGCTGAAGTAGAGGCTCAGGGGTGGTGGTGGCTGGCTGAGACTGCTGAAGGCCCTGGGCCTCTACTTCAGCCCCAGTACCACCACTACCACCAAGGTGCGCCACTGTGCAGGGTGGCCAAAAGGGCAGAGATGGGGGAGAGACAGGAGGGTGGGGAGAGTTGAAGCACCCCTGTGGTCATAAGTGTGGGCAGGCTGCCAAATGCCTGACTTTTGATCACGTGACCGCAGGCGCTGCAACCACCACAAGTTCAGGGACCGGACATAAGTATCATTCATTCAGCACCGCCATATCTTCGAATGGTCGCTGAACGAATAATCGTTAAGCAAGGACTACCTGTACTTTCATCAATATTTAACTGTTAATATGTACAATTTCATTGTGTGGACTACCCTAAGAATTTTGTGGTAGATGGTTGGTAACTCCTGTTGTTTCAATAATCAAGAAAGTCTGATTCCTGGATTCATTTTTCAGAATGTGTTATTGGGTGTGTGCAGGTATGTGTACATGCTGTAGGATGGGAGAGATGATGAGCTTGAGTTGTTACTGAATTATATGATAATTAATATAGCAAAATGAATAATTATCCTTGCGTTCTTTATCAGGTTTTTCCAGTTTTTAATTAATATAATCTACATGTTAGGACAAGACTGCATCCTTGTTTCTAAAGTTCAACTGTTTGAACAAATTTAGCAGCTTCATAGTAAGGGAAAAAAGATTGAAAAAAGATTAATTTTGTATAACTTCATTAGATGGGACCAATTATTTAACATTAGATTGAGAAGAAAATCTCATGAGCCATCTGTCTGGAATAACAGTCTTTTAGCCATTGATACTGTTTCACTTGATTTTTTAAGAATTTAATAAAATTCTAAAATAATTGGGTTCCATACACTTCAAGCCACCAGACTCATTTGCCATTTCCAATTTTATTTCATCACCTTTGAGTACTCAGATACAATCAAAAGGATGGTTTCATTTTGAAAACCAGGACATTTGCATCATTGATTAAAAATGATTTCAAATCCCTCACCAACTTTCCTCTATTTTCTGAAAAAGTGTAAAACCCAGTGAGTGCTAATACAAATAAAAAACATATTTTCCTGTCTTATTGTAGGGCCTTTATGTTACCAAGAAACATTATCTAAGATTTCTAGTTGTTCTCATCTTAGAAAAGAAGTTGTGGGAAACTGTTGTTTGCACTTCTGTTCCTTTATAAACATCTGAGAATATTACGCATAAATATTCCTGGTATGATTTCAAAGTATGCAGGGCTTATTTTAGTGTATCTGTTCTATTGCACATTATTACATTCTGTTGCTATCAATTTGTTGACCTAACCAAGTTAATAGGAGTGCATGTTCTACAGGTAGTCTCCAGTTTAAGAGCGAGTTCCATTCCCAAGGTCTGTCCTTAAGTTGAATTTGTACGTAAGCTGGAACAGTATGTATATTGTATTGTATAATACTGTAGAAGTATTGTTATACAGTACAATTATATAATTGTATAATACTGTACAAGTAGTATTGTGTAATGAACTTGAACCATTGTGTATTTAACTCGAATCATTGTGTATTTAACTCGCATTTTGCTACAGTAGGCTCCGTTGTTAACTATGAGTTGTCTGTAACCCTGGCATTCTTAACCCGGGGACTCCCTGTATTTAAAGATGCAGTTGCATTCAATATTACTTTCTGTAAAAAAGAAGGTTGGTGCAATCTTGGTGCAATCCTATAGACTGAAGGGAAGCTGCTATTGGCAATGACCATCTCCTAAAAGATCCCTTTGGGAAAATTTTCTCAACCCTTTCTGTTTTGCTGTACATTGTGGTTCTCCCCATCTTTTGAGTTTCGTGAGTGAATTTGAGATAGCCCTACGGCCTTCATCTGACTAATTAATCAGTGGTGGGAAACATGGGATGTCACAAAACACCCATTTCACTAACAGGAAAGTACCTGGTTTAAAAAGGTAAGCAGAAAGTCCAGGCCAGAACCAAACTAAAATATGGATGAGGCCAATTCTTTGCTAGTTCTTTGCTCGGCGGTACAATATAACCACATTCCAGCATTCAGTACTGCTTAATTTATTTTGGATTAGCTAATGTATGTCCCTAAAACACGGGCCATTGGAGTTGTGCAACAGCTTTCTCAATTTCTATTTGATCACGCTGTTAAGAGAAAAAATGATGTGATTGCTTATGCATTTGAACTCACGATTACTTTTTATTTTGTAGCTGAATGGCATTAAAATGGTGGATGAACCTATGGAGGAGGGAGAACCATATTCCTGTAATGTAAGTACATTTGCGGTATTCCTAATGATAGGAATTACTGCTGAAGTTTTTTAAAATAGTTTTATATTATATGGTACTCATGTAAAGAGGAGAGAAAGGAAGTTTTCTGTGCTTCTTCATCGGGAAAAATTTCTTTTTGGGCCAGGCTGATGGAAAGTACGTACAAAATTATTTGGTTCGTCTAGCTGTGCTTTTGAAATGATTACATATTTTCAAGATTTACAACGTGTAAGTCTGCGTTTTTTCAAAAAACCCTAATTCTGTAAGAATTGTGTTCAGAGCTCCTGCTTCTTTGGGGCAGGGAGAAGTGGTAGCGAACAGAATGCTTTCGTCTGAACATGCAGCTGAAATTACACCATTGCAAATTTCAGGGTTTTTTATTCGAAGGGGTAAAGATGCCCTTGAGTCAAACATGACTCTTTGGGACCATATCCATGCAGTTTTCTTGGCAGCCCAACAGAAATGGCTTGCCATTGTGCTTTTCCAAGATTCTTTTTTCTGTTTTCCAGTCTAGCCAGCTGCCCTGGAATTCCCATCTAATTCTTGCAATCAAGTGCTAACCAGGGCTGATCCTGCTTAATTTCTGAGATCAGCCATGACTAGCTGCATGCTGCCATCTACTGAGTCCAGGAGTGAAAAACAACTTTGAAAATAAGTTTGCAAAAGTGACTTGGATACAAAAATGCTTTTCCTTTCCTGCTTGCAGAAAGTGGTGGGGAGGAATTGTGTTTGATACCTTATCAACTTGCTAGCCACACTTACTTGGTCTAAGCAGTTCATACAGTGTCTAGTTACAGATCTAGTTGAAAAATAAAATAGCTCTCAGCTCATGAATTTGAAACCCTCTAGAATGGATGCAGTGTTTTCCTGTGTGTCAAATTCATTATCAGAAATGTCAAATTAAAATACCCCAAGCATGTTTTGGTCAGTGTTGGTGCTTTAGAGCATTTTTAATTCCATGGTAGTTTTTTACATGGTGTGGTGTGCTCTGATTTTATTTTGACTTTGGGATATCAGATTTATCCTCTTCCAGTGGCTTATATGTTTGCTTGCAAACTTAACTGAAAGGAATCCACAAGGGGATGTGGAAATTCTCCGTGGATTCTAATACTTGGAAGAAACTCTCCCACTCATTTCCAACAAATTACATTGTCCATAACATCAGGACTAACATTCTAACCATATATTAGTGGGTCTCAGCAGTAAACGTGTTGGCTGTTAATTAGAGAAGCTTTTGGGCCAAGGATCTTTATTTGTTTTGTTCTATTTGTTTTATGTTATTCCAGAAATTGCTATACACAGTAATGCTTCCATATAAATTCGAATCAATAAGATGATTCAGGTAGTCCTCATTTAATGACCACAGTAGGGACTGAAAAATTGATTGTTAAGTCGAGCGGTCATTAAGCAAGTCACCACATGTTTGGACCTGATTTTACTACTGTTTTTACAATGGTCATAAAGTGAATCACTGTGGTCGTTAAGCAAATCACATGGTTGTTAAGCAAATCCAGCTTCCCCAATGGACATTTTTAGCCAGAATTCACTTAATGACCACATAATTCACTTAATGACCATGGTGATTCACTTTATGACCATCATAAAAAGTCACAAATTGTGATCACGTGACTGCAAGGGTGGTGCAATGGTTGTAAGTGCAAATACAGGTCATAAAGCACTTTTTCCGAGGCCGTTTGTAACTTCAAACTGTCATTAAACGAATGGTCATTACGTGAGGACTACCTGTAGGATTTTCATTTCCTACAAATTAAAGTATGTGATATATACTGGTTGCTAATGTTCTAGTTGGTCTTGGGAATATTTAAACATGTCGAAATGATAACCATTCTTTAAAGATCCTAAATAGAATCTAGCTGATAAATTTGACCAGTATTCAATATCAAGAATACATTCAGGGAAAGCTGAAGGTTTCTAACATTTCTAATCTTAATTAACACTTATTGCACTGGTTCTGGTGTAGTCACAGATAAAGTTGCTGGATATAGTATAATAACTTTAAAACATAGTTTGCCAATATTGTATTATAACATTATTATAGTGCTATAATACAATTCAACACAATACAGCGGAAGAAGCTTTCACTGCGTTATTGAAACTATCTGGATATGTAAAAATAAAAATCCTGGGATTTTAATTGACAACAATACAATATTACATATGTTTATGAAATTAGTTATTTCTGTTCAATTATATTGTATAGAAATTATACTGTATATCACTGCTCAAGTCACCAGTCAAGGTGGTATGTATGGGTCAGAAGATAGATGAATCCAGTTCTTCAAATCAGGGGCTGAAAATGAAAACCTTCTTGTAACTTGCTTGCTCTTTTATAGTCTATGTGAATTTGTTTCTAGCTTTTAAGTAGGATTGGGGAAGAAGAAAATAAATAAATACTGTAAAATCCAGTTGATTACTTAAGCTAAATCTTGGCGACATTGTTGTATGGTCTCATCTATGCTGCAAATGTTCCAGATTGTGACATCTAGTTAAAACACTGCGGTGGAGAAGCTAAAGGAATTAAGGTATTAGCAGATCAAATACATAGGTGAAGATAGGACCCACCAAAAGGGGAGAAGGTTGCATACATGTTGACATTGTCATGCATATGCAACAATTTACATACTTGTATTTGACATTAGGATACAAGTGTTTGATGACGTCGTAAAGTGAGTGTCGACATTTTGCTGTTACTGTCGTTAGGGGATTCAGAAACAAGGAGTGAGAACATAGATCTTTGGAAGACAGTAGGCCAAGTCTAAAGAACCTTGAAGCTGATGTAGCACTATGCATTTGTACAACACCTGTTTTCTTTCTCCCTATAATGCTGCGTGTGTAACTGCTGCCCACGCTTAACAGCTGTTGAACTTCCAGATTCTGTTCAAAATCCTTTTTCTGCTCTGTTCTGCGGCTACTGCTCAGTATTTAGAATTTGCTGGAAGTAGCATTTCAAATCATTCAGTTGCGTGAGGTCTACAATGACTCAGCCAGCAATGTTCCGATTATTGTAATAAGAGAGTACAACATCGTTTCCACTGACAGTGGCATTCAAAACCGTTGTTTTCTTAAGTTCTTATTTAATTACTATTGTGTCAGTTTCCACAAAAACCCATTGTACTATCAAATCAGGGTGACTTAAGATGGCTTTTAAACATAGAAACAGATGAACTGCTAAAATCCGTTCATGCAAGTGATCATTTTTTATAACAATTAAAAACAGCATTGTGGAACATTTGATGTGCGGCTTTGGCTAATTGATACAGTTTCTGGATGGGTGTTTTTGTCACTAGGCAACATGGATTCTAGCATATTTTTTTTTTAATTTTTAGAAAAGAATACCTTTTTAATGCACCCAAGACTAGTGCTAAGATGCTTTCTAGTATCATGTGAAGGGACGAATGAAAGCCATTGATGTAAATGATGAAGGTTGGAGAGATGGGCAAAGGAATTGTTGAGTAGTTTGTGCTCAGTTGCTTTTTTTTTCAGGAAAGTTCTGAGTAAATTAAAGATGGGAGAGAATCTAGATTTCTGGAGAACATTTCTTTTGCAAGATCATTATGAATCACACAATTTTCTGTATGAGAACTCAGAATAAGTCAAATTAAGTTTAGGGTAAGTTATTACTTGGTATATAGATATTGGATTGCACCCCGACTTTTTCCCCCAGTAATATTTTCTTACTGAGTTTTTTGGATTGTGAAACAATCAAGACACTTTAAAGAAAGAGTCCTAGCCTTATAGCCGAAATAAATATTTATATTTTTATCTTGAAAGCTAAAGGTAAAGAAACTTCTGCAGGTGTATTCAAATGTCTATAAAATAGTGCACTTCAGGTCTTTTCTGGATACCTTTTCACTGAATTCTAGAATGATGGAGTGACTTTAAATATCCAAGCCTCAAATTAAAAAAAAAATAGCTTCACTGTACATTTTCTCAGATGGTGAACTATAATTCTGGTCCTCTGATTCTGAACATTTATGTTGAGTAGCCTGTCCACAATACGGGGATAGCTTTTCTTCAGTATCTACATGACGCAAAGCATTTTTGTACAGTGATTGGGAATGTTTTACACTCAACAATTATAAGTCTGTTGTTGCTGTTCTTTGTAGGCAGAGTTTAAATCGTCACTACAATCACTCATGCCTTAGGCATCTCTTGACTGGACTATGGCATCATACTCTATATGGGGTTGCCCTTGAGGAGTATTTGGAAGCTACAGCTGGTCCAGAATATGGCAGCTTAGATAATTTGGGGCCCACGCTTAGTTGCCCATCTAACACCACTACTCCAAGAGCCACATCAGTGCCGGTTGACTTCCAGGTGCGATTCAAGGTCCTGGTTGTCGCCTTCAAAGCACACCATGTCAGGAGCTGGACATCTGCAGGATTGCATCTTCCAAGAGTACATAGGCCCTGATTCTCTCAGCTTTCTGGAAAGGATTGAAGACCTGGCTCTGCCCGCTTGCACGGGGCAACAGGAATCTTACCCAAACCTGGGGGTGGCTGGCATCTTGATGACGCTCCCCGAGCTACTTTCCAGTTTAACATCTATTCTTGGATTATATTTATTTTCTATTTATTCAGGACCATTTTACATTGTATGTTTAATTGATTTTAACTTCTTTGTAAACCGCTCAGAGTCATTTTTTAACGAGATGGGCGGTGATAAATTTGATATATAAATAAGTAAATAAAATAAAAATAAAAGATGCATAAAAGATGTCCAGTAAGAAGAGGTAGAATGAGGTCCCTCTGTGTCCCGTTGCACAGGGACTGTCATCTCCAAGCACCACAGAAGCATGCCTTCTGTAGAATCATACTCTTCTGGACTTTCAAATGGCCAATCCCTACCGTTTTTGTTTGTTTGTTTGATAATGGTTTTTATTTAAACATTTCTCAGATATAAAAGATAAACATGAAGTAATATAAAATGAAATGAAAGAAAAAGAAAAAGTGAAGTGAGAAACTGAGAAAAGAATAAGGAGAAAGTACAAATAGAAACAAGAAAAGAAAAACATAAAGAAGCAACTCCCAATCTTCTTGACAGCAGTTATAAACAAACAGATCTTCACACCTCCCTCTTTAAAATTACATCATATTTCCCTTCTTCCCATATTCAACCTTTTTAATCAGCAAGTCCATAAATCACCAGATCATTTTTTTCCGTTTTCAGCAAAAAAAGTCCATAAAAGGTTTCCAGTCTTTAATAAAAGTACTTGTCTTGTCCCTGGTCAGACAGGTCAATTTTTCCATTTCTGCTAACTCCATTGTCTTCACAGTCCATTCCTCCATTGTGGGCATTTCAATATTTTTCCATCGTTGTGCATATAATAACCTCGCTGCAGTCACCATATGCAAAACCAGTCTTCCATAAGTCTATTCTCTGTATCGATATATCCAATTTTTTTCTTTTTTGCTTTTGCACAAGTCCACCATGCATGGTAAAATGATCCTTCATGCTTTCCACATGTCCAACATTGATTGGAAGTACCTTTATACATCTCAGATAATTTCTCTGATGTCATATAGCAACGGTACATCATTTTATAAAAATTCTCTCTTAAATTATAACACAATGTAAAGTTCAGTCCTTTTAAGCACATTCTCTCCCACTGGTCCATCCGTATATTATAGCCAAAGTTCTTAGCCCATTTTATCATGCATTCTTTAACTTGTTCTTCTTCCATTTCAAATCTCGGCAAAACTTTATACATTTTAGCAACCATGTATACATTCTATGTACTTAATTGAGTTTTAAATTCCATCTTATGTGGTTCAATTCCAGTTATTTTTATCTACGTTAAATCTTTCTCTTAATTGTGCATTGGAAAGCCATTGGAAACTAAATCCCTCTTCCATCAATTTCTCTCTTGACTTTATCTCCTACTGTTTTTTGTTCTTGTTTTGGAAGGCCATTAAAGTTTGGTTATTTTCTCAGGTTTTGGGGGGTGGAATATTGTGAGCTTATTCCTTCTGGCACTAGAAGGTTTAATTTTGATTTAATGGCACTGATTAATGTTCCTGGTACTCTACAGATTGATCTTGTTTTTATTGTGTTTTTCTTAACACAATGTAAGGGAGATGGGATGTATGTTACTCAGTCATTCATGATTGGTGTAAGCCCAGTAAAATAAAACAAATAAATAAAATGTAGTGTTCTGCAAGTATAATTTTCACTAGTAGTATCTGGATATCTACAGGTAATCCCCGGATTAAGAACACCTGGTTTAAGGATGACTCATAGTTAAGAACAGAGCCTATTGTAGCAAAATTTAAGTTAAATACACAATGATTCAACTCAAATACACAATGGTTCGAGTTAATTACACAATACTACTTATGCAGTATTATACAATAATACTGTTCCGGCTTACATACAAATTTGACTTAAGGACAGACCTTGGGAACGGAACTTGTTCTTAAACTGGGGAATAGCTTACATACAAATTTGACTTAAGGACAGACCTTGGGAACGGAACTTGTTCTTAAACTGGGGAATAGCTTACATACAAATTTGACTTAAGGACAGACCTTGGGAACGGAACTTGTTCTTAAACTGGGGAATACCTGTATGTTTGTATTACCAATATAAGTGAATGATATAGCAGGCAAGTTTCTTTTTCTTCTTTTCTTCCTTTTAAAGTGGATGTTGGACATGCAGGTTCCCACTCTGTTTAATTAAGAGAAGGAAATACAGTGGTATCTCGGTTCACGAACTTAATTCGTTCCGCGACTCTGGTTGCAACCCGAATTGGTCGCGACCTGAATCAAATTTTCCCACAAGGTTCAATGTAAATACGGTTAATCCGTTCTGACCCCTACGAATTTTGGTTGCGACCCGAATCAAATTTTCCCATAAGGTTCAATGTAATTACGGTTAATCCGTTCTGACCCCTACGAATTTTCTCGCCAA